CTGTACAGGTTAATGTATGAATGATAAAGTACTCTGAGAACCTTAATTTAACTGTATAATTGCACATTAGGTACTCTTTCTTCAATTAAATATTTCATTCAATATCAATTGCCTATTTCCACTTCTGCTGATACTAAAATTTTTGAATTCTTGGTATGTATATTCTCATGCATTCTGCCTAAATTGAGATTTGATTTTTCCGTAAACAGTATAGGACTAAACAGTGAAGCATAGCCAAATGGAAAATTTCCTGAAATATAATGATAGTTTTATTTTGTTATTTATTTATGCTATCAAGCGTTAAGAATAAAACTTTTACAATTATGCTTTATATGCATATTAGATTGTGCTCGATTAGTAACCCTATTGGGAAAGTGCTTATTTATATAGGATTTCCCCTTAATAAAGTGAATAAGGAAATGAGATCAAGTCCATTTTAAAAAGCTTTTAAATAATGAAGGCAACCATTGCAACGAACTAAGTTTTGGGGATGTTAGAAAAGTAAGTATAAACCAACTAGTCCTTTGGCAAATACCTATTTCTAATAGCATTTAATGAAGCATATGTGATATTTTAATTGAGGTTCATCATTGCTATTAATACACTTTGTTGAACACAATAACAGTAAAATTTACTTTTTAATCAAGTTTTAGCCTCACCTTATCGTAAGCAGATCAATTATCAGTTTAAGAAACACCAAACTACCAAATATGACCCTTAACCTTTATGCATATTAGTTTATTTATTCATTTCATTGCAATTTTATTTTCCTCTAGTTTTTTCATATGGTTATTCATCGTTCCTTTTGTAGAATTGAATAGGGCCTCCGATCGGTTGGATACGCCTACCAATGATCCGGTCAGTCGGTTCTCCGGCTCACCAGCTAAATTGGCTAATAGTCCAGTTGCCTCGAAGTCTACGAGCCGCGACCCTGTAACACCATGCTCGTCGCCAGATCCAGCCAGCTTGCAGGCATTTGCCCTCGCACAAGATGTTACTGTCCAACCCGCCCTTTTTGGTGGCCTGACCACTCGGCTAGTTCAGGAGATCCACGACGAGTTCCTTGTGTGCAAGATTTGCTACGAGTCTTACACGAATCCCAAATGCCTTTCCTGCATGCACACCTTTTGTGAAGGCTGCATTGAACGCCACATCTCAGCTGAGGTGACATACAACAGACAAACTGATTACCGAGACTTTACCTGTCCGCTCTGCCGAAAACGTACTCAGTTGCCTCTTGGTGGTATAAAGCGTCTTACCGACAACTTCCTAATCTCAGGTCTTATGGAACTGGTAAGGCGGCAGCGAGCGCTATCGTCGTCGTCAATGGTCACGGGCAGTGGGACAAGGCTTTCGCCATTTTTACCCGGCGACCCTCATTCCAGTACTCGAGAAACGAAAGATGTCAGCTCTCAGCGAAGCGTCGATTCTTCTGAAGCTTGTGACATAATTGCTGATCTTGGCTACTCTCGAAGCCACAAGTCATCTGGCAGCGGTGCGAGTGGATTAGCGGGATCCAGATCTCTCCCAACTAATGATGAAAATACGGCTTTAGGGCAATTACGAGGTTCAGGATTTCGTGGGGTCTACGGTGAGTGTGAGATATGTGCCCAAGTGAATGGCAGTATTCTGGAGCGGGGACGATCTACTACACCTGCAGTGCGTTCTCCTGGCCAAAACGGAGCCAACGATGGAATACAAACAAGCGTTGGCATTACTTCCATTAGGATAGCTGATGCAGGTGCCGATGGAGACACATGTTTGAGCCCCACTGGACCAACAGGCTCCCTCAACGGAGGTGGTGCCAACCAGCGCGCCAGCTCTGCCCGACTAACCAACACACCAGCGGCATCATCAAAATGTCTGGATTGCAATAAACTTCTTTGCCTAGAGTGTGTACGTCGACACCGTGTAACTAGGGTCACTAGGGAACATGCTATCTTTGATATTTCAGCCGAGAAGGACATCGCTTGCAAGTCTCACCCGGATGAGGCAGTCCGGTTTTACTGTGAGCTGTGCCTTGCGCCCATTTGCGTGCTATGTACTTTTGATGAGCATCGTGAACATGAGGTGACTAGCTTCGGAGAGGCGATGACCAAAGCAAGGTCGGAACTGCGGACGAGAGTGGATGAGGTAGGAATGCACGTGGAGGTCAGCAAGAGTCGGTTGGGCTCGATTATTGAGGCTTCGGACTATCTCCACAAGTTAGAGCATCAGATACACTCCTCGACGGATGAATTTGTTGAGCAGGTTAGCTAATGAGGCCTAGATGCTTGTTATTATACTAATGATTTAAAACGAATCTTATTTATGTCCTTAGCTCATATTTTTTGCTCACTCTGCCCACCCTTCAGATCGGACTTCATGGTCACTAGACACAACTGAATAAAAAAACCTTCGTTTTTAAACATAAAGTGAATACAGGTAGTATTCATTTCATTCTTTTCTGACATTCAAATTCCACTATCGTTTTGCAATAAGGACCCTATAGATCAGCAGTCCCAATCACTTTTGAGCCAGGTCTGGCAAGAACGTTTAGGAGTACTGTATTTTCTTCTGTTACATCATTGTAGATTTAGCTTAGTTGGAGGATTATCGCTTTTGTGCTTTACAGAGTAAAACTGTGTAGGCTTCTGTAATAACTTACCAAAGCTTAAGATGATTTATTTGACGTTTAGAAATAATCACTTTGAAACTCGTATATTTAGGCTAAAATCCGGCCAATTCGGTATTAGATAAAAGAAAAAAGTTTCATTTGACCAAATCTAGAATGTTTCTGTCAAGAATAGATAGGCATTACCCTCCAGGGTTGACTGCATTTTCGACCTTGCCTGGGTTGAATATGCAAGTGGAATGATCATTGATAGATGTGCATAACCTTTTGAAATAACATACGGAAATGTTGAAACCTGTTGAATTAGTAAAGCTTTGTATATCAAGTATATTTTTATCGTAAATGAGTAATTTTTTGAGACTACTAGTAAGACAGATATATGAATTGTGCTCGCCCTATTTCGTTTAAGGTGATGAAGGACTGGTAGTCGATTTTCCCACAAGGATATGAGTAGAGCTAATGCTTATCATTGAATTGCTCATAGCCTTGATCTCCCAAAATATGTTCCCATCCATGGTAGACTGCAGTTTCGACCCCACGTAGGTCTTATTGGCACCCCAAGCAGGAGTCGAAACAGCATCACCACCTTAAACGAAATAGCGTGAACACAACTGATATATATGATTTTTTCTGATAGTCTCATTAACCTACTCATTCACGATAAAAGTAACGTCGTCGATTACTATAGCAAATATAAGCTTGTTTCATCAACAATCCCGCCATAGAATGTGATATAGGAAAATTCCTGTCCTTCCTTGAAACTCGCACCTGCCCTGTGACCCAAGGGCACTAGTTGCAATGTGGCGTAGTGGTTAACGTGTCGGGCTTACCCGCTGTACTTTCATGGTTTGACTCCCGCTTTGGATGTTGATAAGCCCTATGCGAGGTCGAAACTGTAGTCCACTCTGGATGAGAACACCATTTGGGAAAGCAAGGCTATGTGAAATTTAATGGAAAACATCCGATCTAGTCATAAACTTGTTGTAACATTAAGTAGCACTCCTTCATCACCTTTAACTAAATAGAGTGAACACAACTCAACTACCTTTTTGTTTAAATTCATAACTATTTTACTTAAACATGGATGCTCTTGTTATCTCCCCATTAGGTCCAACAGCGGAAGCTTTTTGTATTAATCGATAAAAGAGATTATTAATGAAATAATTTCAAAATCCTCATTATTTCTAGGATGTACGAATGATCATTTCGTAATTTTAATTCCATATATATATTTAGCTATAGTGCCATTCGAAATTATAATAAAATGAATGAATTACGAATATATTTTTATTTATTTGTTACAATTTTGTTAGGGAGACCTTTATTTTGGATGAACGTGCGTGAAGAAGAAATTCGTTAGTCGATGTCACCAGATGAGAACGGATGAATCTCGTTGTACTGCAGCCGTTTAGCTTTTATACGATAATCATGTCGACGCAGTCCACGAGACTTCCTCACTCGTTTCGGGATAAAACGAGTGAGGAAGTCTCGTGGACTGCGTCGACATGATTATCGTATAAAAGCTAAACGGCTGCAGTACA